CATTCCCTAATTTCATAAATATAAAGTGGTTGCTCTGGGCAGAGTGTAGGATATAGAAGTAGATTAAAAAAATAACTAACGTTTCAGAAGGCAGTCTGTAAACTGTAAAGTACTGTGTAAATGTTCATTTCTATCCCTGTCATGTTCATAGTTGTTGGGACAGAGGGTGTATACATAAATTACAATGCAATGCAAAGTGAGCTCAAATAAAGGTAGGGACAAAATGTTATGGGGAGTCCATTCTTGAGGTGACCTTTAGAAAATGAATTAATACTTACTAGGTGGACAAGAAGAAACCTGGAGAAAATAGGGGGAAAATTACTAAAAACTTGCTATTAAAATTGTTAATAAAAGTCATTCAACTGTGTACTTAAAGGATGAATTTTATGGTATGTAAGTTGTCTCAAAGTTGTTAAAAAATGGCATTGTACAATGACTACAAGAAACTTAAGAAAGGAGAGTTGCCTATTTTTTGCATAGTACTCCATTGCTGGACACATCTGATCTTGGTTTAACCTCATAGAACCCCTTTAAGATAAGTGTGATGCTATTTTTCTTGTTTTACAGTTTACGGCTCAAAGTTCTCTCAAGGTCACATAGCTAGTAAATGGCAGGCAGGGGGCTTGAGCCACTGTCCTCTGACTTATATGCTCTAATTTATTGAAATTCAAAATATTGCTACCAGGTATTCCTATTTAGCAAGCCAAGTTGAGTAGGTGTTCAGCAGATCTTCCACTTGGCCAATAAGCCATCTCATTGAAGGCATGTTCCCAGCTCCAGGGTGGCTTCTTCAAAAGCCAGTGATAAATCAGGATGGATTTAGCCTATCAGCCTGACCTGTTGTTCAATTGCAACACTGTGTGAATATTCCATAGGAAAAAACCTGCAGCAAGATACACTTCCACCCACTTTTCATGGTTTTGTTTTAGTCTTGTGGCTTCTGAATTGGTTTTTAAACTTGTGGGTGCTGGAGTTCAGAAATGTCTAATACTAAGAGTATTAGTATACTAATCTCTGGGGACTTGTCAGAATCAGAGTTTTATCTGTGCACAAACTGAGCTGCAGTAGGAGCAGTGCAGCAGCTTGGGGCTGGGACTGGAGGTTAGGAGGGAGAATGCCTAACTTGGCGCTCAGAATCTTTATTCCTCTTATTGGTTTTGTTACTTATGAACCATGGGACCTCAGTATCTTCTCTCGAGCCTTAGTAAGATGCTGTGGTACTCCTCCATAGGGTGTCTGAGAAGTAAATGAGGCAATGGGGGAGAAATTGCTTAACATTGTGCCTGGCACCCAATTGGTGTCAAGTCAGCCCTGGGATAGGAGTTAATACTTCTGCAGGATTCACTACAGGCAGCCTGGGGTGCAGGACTCTGTTCCTGAGGCCCAGAGCTGTACCATGTGGTAAGGTGGGCTGCCCTGGGGCTCTGGTGGTAGGGTTAGCAATTGCTGTAGTTGCTCACATATAGCACAAGGGGCTGTTTTTTTTTTCTTTTTTAACCTTTCCTGAACCATTCTTATTACTACTGAAAGGAGCTTTCCTGTGCAGTCATCTACCCAGTAATTAAAACTCTGGAGCACGTTATGAATTATCCATATGACCTAACCTTTGAAAGTAGAGACAGTCTAGCCTTGTAACTACTAGGTCAAATTTAAATTCTGGGTTAAAACCAAAACAACCAGTAGTTCTCATTCTACTCTAGTCAAACTCCTTCAACTCATGGTGAGTTGATGGTTATTTCAGAGGACGTTTAACAACTGGCCTCTGCCCTTCAGGATTTTATAGTCTTAGGAGGGAATTGAAACAAAGGCAAGAAAATTCTTTTGCAGCCTATCCCCATATATACCTTTGCAATTCTCATAAGTAGAATTCTGCTTGATCTAGGGCAGAAGCTAGCAAGGTAGGGTCCAGCCAGAGCTTGCTGTTGTGATTAGTTTTCTTTGGACACGCCTACACCCACTATTACCTATTGGCGTGGTTGCTTTTGAGCTACACCAGGTAAAGTTGAGTATTTATCACAGAGACTGAATGGCCCGCAAGCCTACAATCTTTACTATCTGTCCCTCCAAGGGAAATTTATCCACCTCTGCCCTGGTGGATCCACATGGGAGCTTATGGAGTATAAGTGACAGAAACAGCGCTCAGATCTCCAGAGCTCTGGGTGCAGAACACAGCTAAGAGCAGTGAGGATGGATGTCCCTGGACACCGGCCACCTGCTCCAGGACAGCTCCCCTGGGCAGGGTTGCACCGGCTGGAACCAGGTGGGAGGAGGCAGGGTTACATTCAGTGGAGGCATTGAGTCGGGAGAGACTTGTCAGAAGGGAGGATTGAAACCTGTGGAGAAAACAGTGGGGCTGGAGACAAAGAGTGGCCTTGGGACCCAGATCAATATAGTCACAGGCAGTTCAGTTAGAGCCAGGAACCAGTTGGTGGAGGGAAGTCAAGATTTATCTTTGCAAAGGCTCTTTAAAAGTTACTGCCCTCCTGTGCGTTTGTGTGTATATTTATCTCTACAGGTTTGCCTGCGAGGAGCAATTGAAAGCCTGGAAGACCCAGATCTAATACAATAGTGTTGATGAAATCTGAGAAATGGGGTGGGAGGCGGAGAGGTGAGGGGGAGCTGTCAGTGTACTCCATACGCACCCGTGCCGTTAGATTATTTGTGGCGAGCCGGTATTGATTCTGTAATTAAAATAAAATCTACAGTCATTTCTTTTTAACATTTTAGGAGTTGGGAATTTAGGAATTAAAGCACTTTAAATGCTCAAATAAGATAGTTCTTGTGGTTCTGACTAATTCTGTAAGACTGGTCCGTGACCACAAGATAAGCTGTGAAGAATCGTCAGTTGTCATTCTTTAGACTTGCCGCCACCCCCTACCACACCACACCCCCATGCTTAAGCAGAGCTTTAATAAGACCCGTTACCAGAGACTCTGGGTATGTCGTGGGGCATTCGGGCCCACAGTCTTTGATAGTCACTCTTCGTTGTTTAATCTCATATGTTAACTGAGGGAGTGCTCTCTAGTCTTTGCCATGGGGCTTTGCTCTTACATGGTGAGGAGCATCTGAGCTCATATTTTGTCAAAACACAACATACCATTGACCATTTTTAAGTGTACAATTCAGTGACTTAGTGTATCACACTTTTGTGTGGCCATCACCAACATCCATCCCCAGAACTGAGCTCACCTTTAATCAGGTACACTTTTGTCCCTGGCAGACCTCAAACATCGGTGGGTTTTATTTAATTATTGGGCATAATACTTCCTTCCCCAGGTGAAATATTAGTGATAGGAAATCAGCACCTGGTGTTCTTTTATCACAGTAAAAGCAAATTCCAGCTAGACACCTTACTTTCAGAAATCAGGTGCTTTGCTTAGAAAGGAAGCATGTGACCTGTGCGTGAGCTCTTAACTTCACAGTGTCCCCTTAGTCTGGTGTCAACATGTGTGCCCTGACATTCCAGAGATCCTAAGGTGCACCTGACCTGCGGAGCCAGCCAGGCCTCAGGTGGGGTCTGGCTCTGCCATTTCTTAGATGTGATCCCAAATGAGCCGCATTCCCTGTGTGACCCTCAGTTTCCTCATCTGTAAAATGGCCTCACAGATCAAGTCTAGGGTTAACAGAGATAATAGGGGCACACTAGCCAGTGTCTGGCCACTGGGCGTGGTGGCAGCATTTCCTCATAGGAGCAGGTGTGATGGAGCTCAGGGAGGGAGGGCTATGTTTGGGCACGTCAGGAGGCCCAGGGGCGAGGTAGAGGTTGCAGAGTGGCCTTGACAGGGAGTGAGGGGTGTAGTGAGTATAGGGGAGGGAAGCTGGCAGGCATGAACAGTGCAGAGGCAGGCAAGTCCCACTTGGTGTGAGTTGGAAGGGACGTATGGGTAGGTGAGAGTGCACGGCAGAGCCAGGCGAGGCACCTGGAGTTCATCTCGCAGGCAGTGGGAAGGGTGGTGTAGGTCTCTGAGCATCAGGACACTGTGGAGCGTGGTTGAGGAAGAGCCAAGTGACAGCTGTGCCTGGGGACATTGCTGAACTTTGGCTGGGGGGTGGTGACAGGAGAGTAATGCTGGGACAGCACTGGAGAGCCTCCCCTGGAGGCCAGCTGGAAAGCACCTGGTGCTTGAAATGCAAGGAAGTGGGGTTGGCCTTGGAGAAAAGACTGTTTTCATGTAGACCACCTGGGGTCATCCGGCAGACAGCTGGAAGTGCAGCTGGAAAGAAATTGGGGTGGTTTGATGAGAGGGAGAATAAGATTGCAGCACCTATTACAGGCAGGAGTAGGTGAGGGATGAACCCAGAGGTGAGGCCAAAAATGTGGAAGGGAAAGTGGTGGTGGAGGTCCTGGTGGAGGCTCAGGAGCCCGGGCCTGCTGGTCCTGTTGGTCAGCTGAGAATCCTGTGACATCTAGGGAGGGACACCTTGTATTTAAATTACATGTCATATCTGCAGCTACAGCTACCTCCATGGTCACCTTTTTTGCCTTGTCAAACTTCAGTAAATGAATAATGACCTTTTAGTTGGAAACCCCAGGTTTTGGAGGAAGCATACATTTGAATCTTATAATCCCAAGATTTATGGAAATAATTGTGATTCTTTTTATATAAAAATGGTGGTGGCATTTTGCAACTTCTTCCAAAGGTTTGGCATGTAACCTTGTTGAATACCTGTCACTTCCTCCTCTGTATAATTTCCCTCCCTTGTGGCCTAAACACGTGACTTTGAACAAATCAAGATAGGGTAAGTCATAATTTCTGTTTTAAAGTATCTAAAGGATGCGTTCAGACATAAGTCATACTGACCCTTAAATTCCTCCACCATACACCCCAGTCATTTGCCTGTTTTCTCTTTAATGCTTTTATAGGGCTTGGGGGTCTGTGATGATATTTCTATCTTAACTAGGGGTCAACATGAACCAATTTAGCTCCTTGCCTACATGCGGGTCATCTGTGCCACTGGAGAGAATTCACTCTGTTGGTTCTGTGCATTTTTTTTTTAAGGGCTTTTCCACCAGTATCTTGGGAGCCATGGTTGCTTCTTGATAACCCTGTTTCTCTGTGGGACTGACGATTGCGAAACTGCGAGCCTGCCGCCCTGGCCAGCTTGGCGGAGCTCCGTGGCTGTCAGTAATGCGATGACTCACACTGCACCCTCCTTCCCTCTCCAAGTTTCTGGCAGCCTTGTGACTCCCATGTGGGCAGTGAGTGGCTCTTGAGAAGTCTTTACATAAGAGATTTGAAATTTTTCTTTTAAAATTGCTGAGGTGGTTTTCTTTAAGGTTCACACATTGCTTGCTTTCTGCTTAAATCTCGGGGACCTGGTCATTCTTGTTCCTTCTTCCTTCGGGTCTCTTGGTCCTTGTGGTTTTGTTCTTCATGTTATTAATAATGTGCTGATATTAATTAACCTAAATTAATGGAAACATCTTTCATTATTTAGAACTTACATAGTTCCTTATGCAGATGTACACAAATTTTAGTGCCGTAGTAATTGCAAACCCACACTATCTTGCTTTCTTCCCTCTACACTGATTCTTAATGATTCTTACATGGAACTGGCTTCCTCTTATCCACAAACTGGCAGGAAGTAGAAATCATGTAAATAACTAATTTCTATTACCTACTTCACTGACTTACTTGGCAAGTCCAGTTTGGGCTTTTGTTCTATTTTAATTAATACTTTTCAGATGTCCCTTGCTGTAACTTCACTTTGCAGATAACATTGGAAGGTTGAGTGGGTACTTTGTGCTGCTCAAGTTTGTTTTAACCTTGAGGCCCTGACCTGCTGAGTTTTGTGTTGACTTTCTGTAGGTGTTTTCACAGTCCTGTGTTTGGTATGGAGAGTGTGGAATTGCAAGTGGAGATAAGAGGTACAATTGCAAATATTCTGGGCCGCCAAAACCATTGCCGGAGGACGGATATTACTTAGTGCAGGTGAGTTCATTATTTTGGACATTGGGAACCCAAAATGCTAATCAGAGATCCTCTGTAATTATACCTTAATATTATTGGGTGGGAACTGGGGGGAAGTTGTATGTAAAACGAATGGTCTTAAATCTTATCCCACACTCTTACCTGTAGCACATAAAGGCAGAGAAGATAACATAACCACAGAGGCTTAATTTTCTGGGCTGACTTAATGCCTTTCTCATAAAGTTTCCTAATGGCAGGTTATAGTTAGGAACTGACCTTTGTACCTCAGATGTTCTTCCTTGCAGCTTCTTCAAAATATATTAGAAGTTAGTTTTTTGGTTCCTAGATTTCAGGACCCGAATGGATGAGCTGTTAAGGGACTATGACTCCCTTGTCCTCTGCTCATTGTGGTGATTCCTCCATTTTCCATCAAGAGCCTGTGATCTTTGGCTGCTACCAGGACTCTGTTCTGTTTCTTTGACCATCCCTGATACACAGGGATAATAGAAAAGAACGGGAAAAATCAAGGTGAAAAGACTGGTTTTAGAGGCTTCAGTATCTAAAATCAAGTTGACATAAATAGCAGGTCTCCTAGACTTGCTACTTTCACCAGAATTAGTGAAGGCATTTGATTTTCACTGGAGTGACTCATGAAAATAGTAAATAGCACTCTGTTGAAGATTAAAGTTAAAAATCCTGCGAAGAGGTAAAATGATGTGTCAAGGGAAGAGAGTTTCCAAACAAGAAAAAAGTTGAAATGTCTCTACTTATACTTTGTGAATCCCTAGTTTATCAGTAGTAAAACTGATATCCTTTTAAAAGAATTCTATAAGAACTTTGCAAATGTGTGTCCTTCCCTTGTGTTCCTAAAAAGTATTATATGAAAAGAATACCTATTTCACTGAGGAATATTTATCCTTATTTAACAATGCAATTCTGATATGCATGCTTTTTCACCCAAAAGGAACTCTGTCCAGGATTCTTCTTTGGCAACGTCAGTCTCTGTTGTGATGTTCAGCAGCTTCAGACACTGAAAGATAGCCTACAGCTCCCACTACAGTTTCTGTCCAGGTAGGAGGATGACCCTCAGGAAAACAGAAAAAGTGGGTTTAAGGTACTCATGAACTAGTAACATTCTGATTTCCTTTAAAAAGTTCTTGTTATATTTTATGGAAAGCAATCTTATGACTTCTCAGAAATAAAGAATCATTTCTGATGAAGTAAAAATTCTCAGATAGTTCTTTTCCTAGTTCCATTCGGAGTTGGTACCTGGGTTTCCTCTGAGATGCCTTCATCCCAAAGGGCATTGGCACTGTGGCCTAGGGAGGAGCAGTTCCTGATGGTCCCTAAACATGTCCTTGACAGGAGACCTGCATCCCTACAGTCTTCTGCATCACCTCCCTCTCCTGACCTCCCCTGGGGTGTGCACAGTTCTCTCTTCCTGTGGTGACACGATGTGCTAGAGCCCCAGTCCTCAGTCCAGCTGGCCGTTGGTAAATGGTACCAAGCTCATTCTACCATAGTTTGCTGGTTTCGTCAGAATTAGTTTGCAGTCCAGTCTGTTCTCCGTGACAGGGTAGGAAAAGGGCTGCATGCCAGATGTTTTCTCAGCTTACCCCGCAGTTCTCACACGTGCAGGAGGCAAGTTGGTGGTGGTCTATAGATCAGCACATTGTAATATCTTTCTGAATGTTTCACACTTACCCCTGATAAATGTGGATGGGAAGGACAATGAAGCCTTCATGGGGAGGGACACGACAGTCGGTGTCCACTATGAAAACCCTGCCTCTTTCCAAAAGTTTAAACTGGCAATACAGAGTGGAAAACCATCCCTAAATTGTTCTTTCAGGACAACATTGCAATATAACAGTAGATCAAAAGTTGAGAATCTAATCGGGCCAGTGTGTCCTGTAGAAGGCTAATGGATAGAGCTGAATTAGAGCCATCATTCACTCAAAATACATTTAAAAATTTAGCACCTACTCCTGGTGAAGCCTTATGGCCATAAACAGCAAAAGATTACTAAGTTTTTCCCATATTGTCAATGATAAGTAATAAAATGCCAATCTGTGGAATATTATGCAGCTGTCAAAATTGATGATTGTGGAGATTAAGTGTAATAATACGGGGATAGGTTTATAATTCATGGACAATGGCGGAAAACTGCATTCCACAGGTAATTTTGTTAGAATTGTGTAATTGTTCCTGTTTTTGTCGCCGTAAAACATAGAACTCCTGAAAGAGAGTCAGTGTGGGTGTCTGCACCTTCATGAGACCAGAGGCTTTGAAGGCTAGGGCCATACCTACACTGTCCTTCCTATGTTGAGTGTGCTTGCTTGGACTGGATCAGAGTAGAGAACAGTCTTAACTGGTTGTATTGAGAGAATGCAAGTCTAACGAAGCAGTGGCTTCTGCAGATAACAGTGAACCACAGAGGAGAGGGAGTTCTCTTGCTGCGTAACAAGTCAACATTAGGAGGCTAAACTTAGAACCCTTAGGACAGCAGACAGCTTACAGTTCTCATTAGAACCCGTGTGCTCCTGAAGCAGCGAGAGACCACTGCTGTCCGTTTTATCGTCTCAGGTCACAGGAAATCCTCTTGTTTCAAGAGGGCCTAGGGATTATCTGGAGCTTGGAAGAGAGTCCTTCGCTAGGTTATAAAATTAAAATTCTAACATGTAAATGTCATTTTTCTCCCATTTTTCTTCTTAATCGGAATTGTCAACGTAATGTCCCTAATTCCCTTAAGCTTCAAGAGAAAGAAAACATGTCTTTAAATTAAAAATTGCGGAATTCAGAGAAGCATTTTTCTCGCTTTGAAATTACACCTGGACAACAATAAGTAGTAATTAGGGCACTTTTTTTTAGAGAGGTGTCTTCATTTAACATGAGGCTGTAGGTTTAGAATTGCCAGGTTTAATATGTCCTTGTAATTCATTTGTCACCTTGCAATAAATGTTAAATATTCTTTGTCTATTTTAAATCATCTTTTTGTTTGCCCTATTATCTTTGAGATCATAGAAAATATAATTTGCTCTTCCTTTAGATGTCCGTCCTGTTTTTATAACCTAATGAACCTGTTTTGTGAGCTGACATGTAGCCCTCAACAAAGTCAGTTTCTGAATGTTACAGCAATTGAAGATTATGTTGATCCTGTTACAAACCAGACGAAAACAAACGTGAAAGAATTACAGTACTATGTTGGAGAGAGTTTTGCCAATGGTAAGAAATCTTCTAATTACTCTTCTTTCACAATTGGTATCAGGACAGTGAATCAAGTTGTTCGTTTTTGTTGTCCTGTCAGCTGTGTGTAAAAATGATAGCTTTTAGTTCCACTGGCATCATATGGGAGTTGTTGAGCTACGGTCTATGAAACAATCTTAAAGTATTTGTTTTAACTTCTTTCTAACTCCTTTCTAAGTTCCCACATGGAAATTTTTAGCGTGTGCAAGTTTACTTCTGTAAAAATGATTGTAACTTTGGTTGTAGTTGACAAGAATTGTTTAACTTCATTACTGCAGAATTGAGGAGAGGAGTTGGGGGGTAAAACTAGTTGGCAGAGGAGAGGAGATTGTGACTAAGAAGGAACAGGTCACCTTTAGGGGAAAGTGAGCAGCAACTAGCAACTAGAATCCCAGCAACTAGGAGTCATAGAACAGTCTGGAAAAGACCATATGTTTGTTGAAAATGACTGAAATCAAAGAATTCTAAAAGAATAGAAACACTAGGGAAAAATAGTGAACAGATTAGAAACAGAACCAATTGGACCTATTAGTGAAAAACAGTCATTTAAATGGACTAAGATAAATAGCAGATTATAGCTAAATAAAGAACATACCCAAGAACAACCTATAAATTAAAAGAATAAGAATTCGGCAAAGTTGTTGACTATGAGAGTAACATCCAAATTTAATTGTAATGATTTAAGTATGTAAAAAAGAAAATCAATAGAAAAAGTTCCCAATCACCAGAGCAACAAAAAATAAGTTTTTGTTACTAGTAATAAAGCTTCCAAAAGGTGTGACATAAAAGAGCCTGTCTGAATGGACAGAAATAATCTGTTATAAACAGAACCATGCATGTGCAAAGTATGTAACAGTTAACACGTTTTTATAATTCATTACAGGAAAAGATGGGCTAGTTAATAAATGGAGTGAGAAAATAGATTATTTTTAAATTTTTGCATATCATATTAAAAAATAGATTAAAAATCCTAACATTGGACATTTTCAGAAGTGAACATAGATACTGTCTTTAGGACTTTAAGGGTTCTAGGCAAGAGAGGAAAAACAGAAACCGTAAATGAGAAGATTTGTAAATACGATGACTATATAGAGCATTCAGGGAAATGCAGATTCAAACTTCCACACATCAGATTGGCACAAATTAAAAAATTGTTCAATTCTAAGATTTGGTGAGGATGTGGAGCAATAGGGAGGTTTAATATACTTAACTGCCGGTGACCATAAGTTGGTGGGAGCTTTTGAAAACCATTTGGAAAGCAATTTTGCAATACCTGGTAGAGTTGAAAAAATATACCCTCATCCCAGAAATTCCACTCACAGATGGCTGCCTCAGAGAAACTCTAAACTCTAAACAGAGAGAACCTTGTAAGATTGTTCACTTAGTACTTTTGTGATTGTGAAAAATTGGAAACATCCAGAGAATGAAAAGACAAGCACAAACAGGAAGAAAATATTTGCAGAAGACATCTTATGTACGATTGATTACTCCAAATGTATGAGGAACTCTTAAAACACAGCAATAAGAAAACAAACAATCCAACTGAAAAATGTACAAAAGACCCTGAATACTTTCTTAAAAAAGAAGAATGGATGGCAAACAAGCATATGAAAAAATGCTTAATATCATATGTCATTAGGGAATTCCAATTAAACTGACACTCGATACCCATTAGAATGGCCCAAACTGAGAACACTGACACCACCCAATGCTGGTGAGAATGGGGGGCATCAGGAATCCCCGTCTGTTGCTGGTGGGAATGCCAAGTGCTGAGGCCACATTGGAAGATGTTCTGGGAGTTTCTTACAAAACTAAAAACATACTTGAGTTTCTTCTTTAAAGGCAATGAAAATGTTCTAAAATTGTGGTGATGGTTGCATATACCTGTGAATAGGCTAAAATTCATTAAACTGTAACATTAAATAGGTGTAACATTAAATAATATGGTATGTAAATTTTATCTTAATAAGCTGTTTAGAAAAAAAAAGTAAATACATTCCTAAATAGAACTTAGGAAAACTATAAAACTCCCAAGACAGGCATCTTAAAAGCAAGTGGAAAAAAAATATAAATCACTTTAGAAGAATAGCACTTGGGGATTTTCTTAACAGCAATCATAGAGGCCAGAAGGCAATGGAATAATTACATTTCTAAAGAAAACTATCACTTCAGCTATACTGTCTTTCAAAAGTGAAGCAAAGCACGATGAATTTATAAAGTATCTCCTTAAAGTTGGGGGAAGTTTCTGATAAGCAGAAACTGGCATATAACTAGTAATACAGGACCTGTTCCTACTGCTGTCTTAGGTGCAAAATGTCACTGGCATTATCCCTGTTTAGTGTGATATTTTTTTGAAGGCTAAAAAAAAAACAAGAAAGTAGTTAGGTTCATTCGCACATGACCTCTGCTTTAACACTGTTGTTCCCCTGTAAATTCCTTAGTCCTCTAACTGTGATTTCTGGGTGCCGAAGTTTTCTGGAACCAACTTCACTGACTTTGGGGGCACTGAGGTTCTCAGCTTCTCCTCCTTCAGCCTTAGTGCAGCTCTTTCTGCAGTGGGAGGAATACTTCCCCAGGCTGTTGTGAGCAATGCAGGAGGAGGACTTAAGCCTTTCCTGTCTGCTTATTACATCTGATTTACTTGGAATCTGGCCTGGGATATTACTTGCTGGAGGATAAGCCCGTTTCAGGGGTGATTTTCATTCCTGCCCTTAGCGTTTATTGCTCTGCATTTCAGCCCCACGGCTCCTGATTGCAGAGCAGATGGATTTCAGAGTTCATGTCGGAGCCACTTTGGTAAGATCCCGCCAGGGGAATTAAAGGAGCATGCATTTCAGTCTTTTCCCTTATTCTTCTGCTAGCCATGTACAACGCCTGCCGGGACGTGGAAGCCCCCTCAAGTAACGTTAGAGCCCTGGGACTCCTGTGTGGGAAGGACGCTGATGCCTGCAATGCCACCAACTGGATTGAATACATGTTCAACAAGGACAACGGCCAGGCCCCTTTCACCATCACACCCATTTTTTCAGGTGGGGTTAAAGCCTCCCAAGTTTGGATTCATAATCTGTGATAGGAAACTAAATTCAGGTGACTAGTTCCTGGTTTTTGCTTCCACTGGAGAGAGGTAACTAGAGCATTTATCCCACCCCTGGTTAACTGAAAGAGTGAGATGATTTTTGTTTTGTTTTGTTTTATAAAAAGACTGAAAAGTGTTAAAGAGGCCTTTTCAGGAGCTCTGCACTCCTTTTCAGGAGCTCTACACTCGTATTAGACTAGCTCCTCAGTGGAGATAAGGCACAGTTGAGGGCTTCCCCTGGGAATGTGGTGTACTCAGGTCTCAAGAACAAACCCTTTGCCCAGAAGTATTTGAAGTAACTTAAAACTTTACAGGACTAACCAGCAAAATCATTTAATTAGTAAGAAACATCCAGTCTTTTACTCTTCTGGTGGTGTCATATAGATTTCATTGTGTTTATCATTGGGCTTAAGTATAATTTAATGCAAACTGTAATTTTTTAATTGAGATATTCATTCAACATAATCCTCCCTGAAGATTTTTCAGTCCATGGGATGGAACCCATGAACAATGCCACCAAGGGCTGTGACGAATCTGTGGACGAGGTCACGGCACCATGCAGCTGCCAGGACTGCTCAGCGGTTTGTGGCCCCAAGCCGCAGCCCCCGCTCCCTTCTGTCCCCTGGAGAATCCTGGGCCTGGACGCCATGTATGTCATCATGTGGATCACCTACATGTCATTTTTGTTAGTGTTTTTTGGGGCATTTTTTGCCATGTGGTGCTACAGGTAAGCTTTGTACAGGTAAGGAAATTTGCCCATTTCCTCCAGGGCAAGAAGCCAAATTATTAGAAGCATTTCTAATTTTCACTTTGCATGCCTTCATTAATTAGACCAAGAAACAAATAGCTGCATTAATGCCACTCCATGAATTACTTTTGTCCTCCAACTAGTAAACTTTCAAAGGCCTGTTGAGACATTTGAACATTTGAAGTTGGTTTCACTGATTTATTCAAAATGATGAGTGATTTAAAGCACCATGCAATGCATTAACCACCCATCCTTCAACAAAAAGTCTTAGATGCCAACTCTGATTCAAATCTAATTATGAATGCAGTCCTATAGTCCTTTTAGAGAAATGCATCTTGATTTAGAATTGTATGTTTTTTAACTTTTTATTTTGAAATAATTTTAGTCTTACCAAAAGGTGCAAAAATAGCAGAGCTTATATGTAACCTTTACCAACTTCCCTGAATATTACAACCTACATCCCCCATAGAATACAATTATCAAAACCACGAAAGTAACACTGGTAAAATATTAGCTAAACCACGGCCTTGATTCAGATTTCCCCAGTTTTTCCTCTGCTGCTGTCTTTCTGTTGTGGGATCCCATGTCACATTCACTTTCCGTGCTCTACATTTCTGCTTTAATCTGCAGCAGTTCCTGTCTTTCTGTTTCTTCTGTGGCCTTGACACTCGGGATGAGTACTGACTAGTTATTTTGCAGAATATCCCTCTATTTGGCTTTCTCTGATACTGTCTCATTATTACATTGAGGCTGTGTGATTTTGACAAGAGTATCACAGAAATGATGTCCTTCTCAGTGTGTCATGTCAGGGCTGCATGATCTCAGTGTCTTTACCAGTGATGTGCTGACCGTGATCAGGTAGGGCGGTGTCTGCTGGGTTTCTCCACTGTGAAGTTACTGTGTCTCCCTTTGGGGTTGATAAAGATCCCAGGGGAGACACATTAAGGCTGTGCCCATATCTTATTTCTCATGCAGTCACCCGCTGGTTTTAACATCCATCCGTGGGGCTTGTTCTCAGCAGTTACTACTGGTGTTTGCCTGATAGTGACCATATTTCCCTCGTTCCTTCTGTGTTGACTAATTGCACTTTCTCTTTACAGTTATCCCTCTCCCCTACTTATTTATTTATTCAATTATATTTACCTCATGGAATTTTTTAAATTCTGAGGGCTCTATCCAATACTGTAATTTATTTTGTTGCTCAAATTTTTCCGGTTTCGACCATGGGAGTACCTTTCGGTTGACTCCTGTGTTTTTTCTAACATGCCCCACCTTCCTCAAGCCTGTTCTTATTTTCCGGAATCACAAGATGTTCCAGGCTCATCTTGTATTTTCCCTGCCCCAGCCCTGTCATCAACCTCTTCTGCAGGGATCCCTGGCTCCTTTTATTGAAGAATGGTGTTTAGAAACCAGGTGTGCTCATTGCTACAGCAATATAGTGTTTACTGTGCTTTTAAAGGACCTGAAAGTTTTAAATGTAAATGAGGGCTAAAAGGTGAAATTAGCCTTTATTTGTTCTAATGCCTTCTTAAATGTTCTCCTGAGATTGGTGGGCAGAGGGACCCAGAGTAAGGGAATTTACAGGAAAGAAGACAATAGGGAGGAGAGCAGAATGAGGAAGGAAGCCTTTAATGGGGCTGTTAGAAGAACTCCTCATGCTATAGAAGTTCACTGACAGTACTTACATGCTTTTATTTTTCAGAAAACAGTATTTTGTCTCCGAGTACACCTCCATTGGTGGCAGTATAGCTTTCTCTGTAAATGCCGGTGACAAAGGTAGGTATGTTTGTCTGAACTAAGGGTTAGGATTTTGCTGGCATGAGAGCGTTCATTTCCTCAGCACACATTTATGCCCCTGTTCTGGGAGAGGGTCTGTGCTTGTGTCAAGGACACAGCTGTGATCAAGACAGGTCCTTGCCTTTGTGGCATTTACTATCTAGTCAGGGTGGCAGATCAGAACCAAGTAAGTAACAATAGCAAGACAGTAATTAGGGGCTGGGGTGAGCTGCAGAGGTGCTGTGTCGGTGGGCTGAGGGCAGAAGTAGCAGGGAAGGTTGCTGGGAACTGCTTTGGGCAGACTGCTTGGAGAACTTTGCCTTTCAGAGGCTTGCCATGTGAGCATTGTTCCTCTGGGGGATGGGGATGGCGGCCCTCAGGGGCAGACAGGAAGGGCGGCTGCCTGAGCAGACAGGTAGCTGATGGCCTGGGGAGACCCTGTGTAGGCCCTCGGTGGGGGCGCGGTCTCACGGCATGCTGGGGCGCAGTCCCACCGTGTGCTGGGGTCGCTAACGCTTTCCCTGTTCCGCTTTCAGGAGCGGCTTGGCTCTTAACCTCCACCCTCCCTTCCTCTCCTGCTCTTCCAGGGGAGGCATCCTGCTGTGACCCGGTTAGTGCAGCATTTGAGGGCCGTCTCAGGGGGCTCTTCACACACTGGGGCTCTTTCTGCGTCCGAAACCCTGGCTGCATCATTTTCTTCTCCCTGGCCTTCATTGCTGTGTGTTCTTCGGGCCTGGTGTTCGTCCAGGTCACGACCAACCCCGTTGACCTCTGGTCAGCCCCCAGCAGCCAGGCACGCCTGGAAAAAGAGTACTTTGACACACACTTTGGGCCTTTCTTCCGCACGGAGCAGCTTATCATCCGGGCCCCCCACACCAACACGCACACTTACCAGCCCTACCCCTCAGGATCTGACGTGCCCTTTGGACCTCCGCTGGACATAGAGATTTTACACCAGGTAATCTGCTTTGTGCAGAAATCAATCCCAGGGAACCTAGGGGATTGTTGGCTTTTACTTTACTGAGAAGTTCTCCTTTGGGTTTGGGGCTGCATGTAGTGGTGTATCTTGAAACTCTTATGGTGAAAGTAAAGGTGTTTTTCATTTACTTCCAAGAAAGCAAATGTTAGGCATTTACCTAATGAAAACTTCACTCTAGACTGTTTTTCTATTTATAGTAGGTCTTGCTTCTTTGTTGAACTTGGGATGAACATTTCTCCATGGAAGCAGAATGTAATTATAATTCATCTTGGGAATTTATGAATTTTTTCTCTTGGTAATTGTAAAGTAATATGCCAGGATCCCGATGAATAAAGCCTTTTATGCCGTCCTGGATGATTGCTGCTCTACCTTCAGGGATGAGTTTATCGTCGCCTGGATGTGGGCTCCCAGCCTGCATCTGGTGAGAGGTGCATTTGGAATGAGGTCCCTCCTGTTCTCTTACAAAGGCCTTTAAGCCTTCTTGTTATCTTATCACACTTGCCATGGAGAACTGTATCTGTGAATAAACTGCATACCACTTATTTTAATGAATGACTGCATAATTGCATGGCTTTTCCTTTAAACACTGTTATTGCCTATAGAAAGTCTGATACCTTGAAAAACATCAATATGGTCCCAAGACTTCCAACAGAATTTTTTCTCTAGCCAATGACTGTCTGTTGCTTTTTCTAGCTTGTTGCAACAGATGCACAACGTAGTCATTTTATTCCAGGAGTGTATTCTCTATTAGAAAATATGGAAATATACATAAATAATCATAGTACAGAGCAAGGCATTAGGTAGTGTATTGTTGGTCATTTGCCCCAGAGTCCCCTCTGTGATCCTGTGGGTCACTGCTGCAGAAGGGTGGGAGGGGAGCTGTTCATGTGTCCTGCACTGAGATCTTTCTGTCCTGGTAATGGTGTCACCCCCCTGTCTCTCTGGATGCTTCTAAGCAGGGTCTCCATGACAGTTTGCTGTCCCTAAGAGTCAGCCTTCATGCCATCAGGTATTTTACCATGGTGTGCCTTCGTCCTCTCCCGTGTCTTAGGAAGAATTTTCCCCGAATACCCTTTATTTCTGACCCTTGAGGGCAATAATGATTAGTCAAAAGCAGAAAGAAATCTTGGGTTTCTGAACTTATTTTTAAAATCTTCTTTCAGGTCCTTGACTTGCAAATAGCCATCGAAAACATTACTGCATCTTACAACAATGAGACTGTGACCCTTCAAGATATCTGCTTGGCCCCTCTCTCACCATATAACCAGAACTGCACCATTATGAGCGTGTTAAATTACTTTCAAAATAGCCATTCCATGCTAGACCACAAAATCGGAGACGACTTCTTTGTGTATGCGGATTATCACACACACCTTCTGTACTGTGTACGGTACGTGCCAGGAGACCATTATTCATTCATCCCACCAATATTTGAGTGCCTGCTGTTTGCTACAAGCTGTTGTAGGAACTAGAGGCTTGGCAGTCAGTGAACAGAACAGGACCCTGCCCTGTGTAGCTCATGTTCTAGTAGAGGGAAACATGAACTATAGACACATGCGGTAATGCCAGGTAAGAGAGTGCAGTGGGGATGACTGCAAAGGGGAGGGAAAAGAGGGAGCCTCTGATTATTAGAGGGAACAGTGTTCCAAGTAGACAAGCAGCAAGTACAAACGCCCTGAGGTAGGAGCGTTTTTGTGTAACTGGGGAACAGTAGGTACCACTCCTCTAACTCATGTCTGGATTGACAACAAAGTTGGATCATCCACACCACCTGCTAAGTTTTTTTGAGGTAGTTTCATAGTACAAAAATATAAACCTATGGTGCTTTTTCTTTCAAGTATACATTTATACCATGGTACTGAATTGTTTCTCTGAGTGCAGCATCCCCCAGCAGTCGCAGGGTTTATGCACAATGTAGACTGGACATTACTGGAGCTGCTCCCTCTTGGAGGCACGCCTGGCTGGGCGGGGTGCGTTTCTGTTTCAGTTGGTCACAGAGAGGCTGTGCATGGTGGCAGTGCGATCCTTAGGCTTGTCCCTGGAACAGGAGGAACGGCTTGTGCTGGCTGGGCCTGCCCCTCAGGCTGACCTGGTCTCAGACAGTCATTCAGCCAGACAACCACCATGTCTGTTTCACCATCACGGGGACAGAGAAACAATTCCCTTGTCACCTTCACATGTGCTGTTCAGCTCACCACATCTCAAGAGCCAAGCATCTGACTTTGGTCCAGTTTGGTGAGCTTAAAGTCTGTCTATTTTTGTTACTGGAAAATAACTCTTTAGGTAGTTGGACTGGGTTTATTATTGTGTTTCAAGGAGGTCACCTCTAAGAACAGGTGCTCCACACATGAAACAGTGAGTGCACGCCCACATGCCTTCACTCAGTGCTCTCTGCGAGGCAGATGGTCCCTGGGACCCATGGGCATTTAAGAATAAAAATGTTTAATAATATGTACTTTTCATATTTAAAGAAAACTCTTTTTACAAAATAAAGTCAACAAAATGTTGGCAGTAGAGCAGATGCATGAGGCTTGTGCTTCAGCCATGGGGCCCTGGTTCCAACAGGTGTGGAAACACAGCCTTCAGCAGCTCCCCTCCCTCGAGGCAGGGATTTGTGTTTGGCATATGGTTGATGCCTGTGTCTCCAGCTCTTGCCCCATCTCCCTGCCAGCTTCCCTTGGGGCTCCCCCCTGGAGTCCTGCGTGAACAACAAACCCAGCACCCCCGGCCCCAAGTACAGACCTCCTTCTTGCATGCAGCCTTTGTATCATGCCTGGGCATCTGCACCTGCCCATTACACCTGAGGCTGCATCCCTCCCCGCCCTCATCTTATGCATGGGTCCTCTGTGGGCTCTAACCTCCAGCTGAATTCTGGTGGCAGAGTGGACATGTGAGATGACAAGACTCGGCTTCTAGCAGCAGCTCTGCTGCCTGTTTGCTCCAGCAGTGGCCTGACCCCCAGGGCCTGATCCCATCAGCCCTGGGCTCTGAAGGCGGTGGTTCGAGTCATATGCAAGAACCTCATGGGTGCCCAGCAGAGCTCTGGCTTCTGACCTGTCTGGAGGCCCTTGTTCCCTCTCTGCTGATGCTGCTTGTCTTCACTACTGCTCATCCCTGCCTGGGCCATGACGCAAAGCTCCCAGCTCATCTCTCTTCTTCCCCTTTTTTTCCTGCTTTGGACCTTCTTCCACTTTGTAACCTAAACTATCTTTGTAAAACAGCTCATCACATCCCTTTCCCCTAAATCTTGAATTGATCCCCAGTGCCTACAGGGTAAAAATCCAAACTACTTAACCTGGCACCCAGTCCTTTTGTTCACTGCTTGTCCCTCACCCTTTCCAGCCTCATCCCCTCCCTTGGAAATCCCCCCACTTCATGGGCATATCCCACGCTTTCCCAGCACAGGACTCAGTCCTTCCTCAGGCTGCCACCCTCTTGCTGTCTTCTCCCCATGCACCTGTTTTCTCTCTCTCTTCTCTTCCCATTTCCTCCCTCCCAGCTGAATTCTCCCTCAGCCTTAGAGATCTGGTCCTGTACAGGTCTTTTTTTGGTGACAGTTCCCTGCATACTGGTTGCTCCCTCCTCTGCACCAGGTGCTGTGTACTGTCAGCCACATCGTGCTAAGCTGGCCTGCCTCTTGCTCAGTGATGAAGAGTTCCCAAGGGCAAGTGCTGACCTGCATCATGCACCTAAGAAACCTGTGCCTAGAATGTAATCAGCCTCATTGACTGCTTGCTGAGTAAACATTTCAGTCTCTGTGACATCTTGAGGCATGTTCTAATTGGGGGATGTTTTCTAAACTTCTTGAAGGGCTCCTGCCTCTCTGAATGATACAAGTTTGCTCCACGATCCTTGTCTGGGTACGTTTGGTGGACCAGTGTTCCCATGGCTTGTGTTAGGAGGGTATGATGGTAAGTAAGAGAAGATTTTACTTTTCCTATTTGATAAACTAGTTGTGGGTTCTGTCATTAATAATAAAGTGGTGATTACAAAGATTTCATAAATTGAGCAGTCTTATTAATGCTCTCTTTTTTTTCTGCATTTGTTTATTTATTTAATCTTTTTTTTGTATCATTAATATACAATTACATGAGCAACATTGTGATTACTAGATTCCTCCCATTATGTCCCCTCCACCTATCCCATTACAGTCACTCTCCATCAGTGTAGTAAGATGCTATGGAGTCACTACTTCTCTGCGCTATACTGTCTTACCCGTGTTCCCCCCTCCACGTTATGTGTGCTAATTGTAATACCCCTTATTCCCCTTATCCCTCCCTTCCCACCCATCCTCCCCAGTTCCTTTTCCTTTGGTAACTGTTAGTCCATTCTTGGGTTCTGTGAGTCTCCTGCTGTTTTGATTAACTCCCTGTCTCTTAAATCCCAAATATAATACCTGCTTTGGCTTTGGCTTTGGGTTTTGTTGCAGATTTGAAAGAAGTAGATGTTGTTAGCCTTCTTAACATCTGCGTCGGTGTGTTTCCTACATGTAAATATATAACAATATTATACACAGCAGTAATAGTAGTTTAACTCCATTCGGGTTCCCAGAGCTGATTCCAGTGTGTGTAAGTATGTGGGAGGGCATTTTCCACACATAACACCAAGCAATTCTGGAACACCAGTAAGGTGTCAGAGAACTCAACTCAATTCTGATGCTATCTGCCTGGAGATGGCACCAGATTCCCCATGTTAAGGGCTCTGGCCTACAGGACCGCCCTCCACCCCCCACTCCAGATGTCTGCAAGCCCCAGGCAGTTACTTGTGCTTCTGACCTACCAGCTACAGATTGGAGGTGCCCACGACCTCCCCCTTGGGTTCAATTAATTTGCGAGAGCATCTCACAGAACTCAGGAAAAACGTTATGTTTAATAAAGGACGCTGTAAAGGATACAGGTTAACAGCCAGATGAAGACATGCACAGGGCAAGTTCCTAGATAAAGGAGCTTCTGTCCTTGTGTTGCTCAGGGCCTGGCTCCTTGGCACGTGGAGCTGTTTTGGTTCCCCAAGCACAGAAGCTCTCAAACTGAGAAGCAGGATCCAAAAGAGCAATAAGCTTTTCTCAGAGTTTTTTGTGAGGGCTTCATTGTACAGTTATGATTGCTTAAATTATTGGCCATTGGCTGATTCAAGTATCTAGCCCCCGCCCTTGGGTGGGGGTCCAAAAGTCTCATTAACGTGACAGAACACCCATTTCACCTTTAAGAATCTGCAGTGTCTAAGAACTGTAGATGAAGACCAAATATACCTGGGAAAGATATATTCAGTCATACAAATATATGTATTTCTTATGAACCATTATACTGCAAGATCACACTATGGGACACTATCAAAAGCTAAGGACATTTCTCCAGAATGTCTTTTGTGCACAGCCACATAACTTGTTCAGTTTCAAGGAATTCATGGATTTCTTGAAGCTTACCAGTAGATACCCTAGGGTGTCCATGAAACCCTAGGGTGTCCATGGACCTCAGATTAAGAACATCTGTAAGGGGAAGAGATAATATACAAGACATGGGGAGAACAAAGTTGGTGGGCACTTTTCTTCTAAACCTGTTGGTTAAGAATTGAGACACTTCCAAAGTGGGGAGAGTAGTGGGCTTGCTCTGGGCTCTTCTGTAGTGCCTCCGAACTGGCTGTACTAGATGCAGTGGGGTCATGATTCATGGGACAGCTTTGATGGCTTCAGCTCAACAGGTTTTCTCCCCAGTGAAGAGGCCAAATAGATGTTCCTGTCTTCGCCCAGTAGGGAGGGAAAAGTTGTGATCTATGTCTAAATTTTACTTTGCCTCATAAAATGCCATTTCTGACTGGTGGGGAAATTTGGTATCCCCAACTGGCTAGCCACAGCCATCAAAATTACATTTGATCTCTCTTACTTTTTCCACTAAAATAAATTCCATATGTATGAAAGACTGAAATGTAAGAAATGAAGTGAGTAAAGAGTGAGAAGAAACTTAGGAGGAATTTTTAAAATTATGTTAAAATGGAGAAAGCATTTCTAAGCAAGACACAAAACTAAAAAGCCACAAAAGAAAACTGGTGAATTTGACTACAGAGTTTTTAATTCTTGTGTGCAGAGCAAAGTTTAAAAAACAGAAAGAGGCAACAAAGTGGAGGAAAAAATGTACATAACATAGCATTTCCTTAATATTACAAAGGGCTCTTGTGAAAAAAGAAAAATGTCAACAATGCAAAAGAAAAGTGGGTGAAGCCATATGAAAGTTAGCAAAAGAAGAAATACAAATGGCTTTAATTATATGGGAAACCGCTCAACCTCCAGGAAGGCTGGGTTTTTTTTCTCTTTTGTTCACTAATATATCTGTAGTACCCCAAATTAATTCCTGGCACAAAGTAGGTCTCAGTTAACATTTTGCTGAAAAAAGGAATGAAAAATAGGATAGCCTTTTTGGAGGGAAGTTTGGGAGAATTTATCAAAATTAGAAATGCACATACTTCTTGATTCAGTGATTATACTTGTTCGAATTGATTCTACAAATACGTATTTTTCACACAAAATTTGTATCAAATTATTTGCATTTTGTTCATAATAAAAATTGCAAAAAAATGCATCAGTTGCAGATCGGTTAAATTACACTAGAAAATATGCAGCAAAAAAAGAATAAGGAAGCTCTATGTCCTAAAATGCAGCAGTCACCAAGATACAAATTAAAAATGTAATGTGCAAAACAGTATGTCACTGTTGATGTAAGAAGAAAAGGTGGAAAATATGTTTACATACACATGGAGTGTGTCTGGAAGGATTAGTCACAGCCACAGTAGGGGGAGGCTAAAGAACAGGGACTTGGGAAAGAGCAGTACTGTTCTGAATACCTTTCTGCTCTGCTTGAAATGTTTACCATGCATGAGCCATGTGGAATTAAAAAGAAAATGTCACTCTTCCTGAAGAACTGCTTACATCTGGTGGAGAATCCTTTCTCTTCATTAACTGAACTTCATAAACACTATTTCAGTACATACCTGTCTTGTCCTTAGAGAAGTCACTCACCTTAATTATATTGTGATTATCCCCTCGTACTTATCTAAGTTCCTGCACACTTGTAACCTTTTTGATGTCACATTTTTCCTTTCTAGATCAAAACTACAATAACGCCACAGCCCTTGTGATCACCTTCCCTGTCAATAATTACTATAATGACACAGAGAAGCTCCTGAGGGCCCAGGCCTGGGAAAGAGAGTGAGTTACTAATGGGGTCTAAACAACCTGTCCTGTGTGGGAAGATGGATGCTAAAAGAAAGCACTTAAATTTCATTTGGCTAAATTAATCAACATCAGGTCTCAACTGTGTCATTTTTTTTCACTTGGTACTAGCAATGCTAAGAAAAAATCTGTAAATAAATTTGCATATAAACATTGTTTGAACAGGTACCCATTCACAAAACTACAAAAGTTCATGTACAGAAATGATCCTTGTATGAAACAAGCCAAATGTACCTTAGTAAGGAACAGGACAGTAGAAAATTATGCAGTCATTATACATAGGTAAATGGCTCAAGATATATTAAATAAAATTTGCAATCTATGTATAAGTGAATATATCCTATACCTGCTGTCCATGCCTAGAAAAAATATCAAGCAAAGGACCCAGGAAATGATGAATTGTGTTTGTAACCTTTAGAGAAGGGGATGAGAGGACTGAGCAGGGCAGGGGACTGACTCTTCATTTGATACCCTTCAGTACTTTTTAAAAAAACAACAACATATATTGGGATATAATTCATATACCATATATCTTACCCATTTAAAGTATACAGTTCAATAGTTTCTAATATATTCACAGATGTAGGCAACCATCACCACAGCCAATTCTAGAACATTTTCTTGACCCCAAAGATAAACTGTATATACTTTAGCTGTCACCCCCATCCTCTCATCCTTCCACCTCCCAGCCCTACACAATCACTAGGGTACTCCAACTCCATAAAGTCTTGTATGAATGGAGTCATGTATTCTCAACAATGTCTTCAAGATTCATCCAAGCTGTAGCATGTATCAGTACCTCATTCCTTGTAGTGGCTGAATAATGTTCCATTCTGTGGATCTACCACATTTTGTTTATCCCTTCATTGGTTGATAGACATTTGAATTGTTTCTACCTTTTGGCTATTGTGAATAATGTCACTATAGACATTCATGTACAAGTTTTTCTGTGAAATTATGAATTCATTTCTCTTGGGTATATATACCTAGGAGTAAAATTGCTGGGTCAGATGGTAACTCTCTGAGGAACTGCCACACTGTTCTCCAAAGTGGCTGCACCATTTCACATTCCCACCAACAGTGTATGAAGGTTCCAGTTTCTCCGTTTTCTTACCAATGTTCATTATTGATCTGATTTTTCTTTTTGAAGTATAGTTGCTATACAGTATTTTCTGGGTTTCAAGTATACAACATAGTGATTCAATAGTTACCGACATTATTAAATGCTCACCCCAACTAGTTACTGTCAACATAGAAAGATGTTACAGAACTATTGACTATATTCTCTATGCTGTACTTTAATCCCCATGACTAATTTATATGATTGAGATTTTGTGCCTCTTTATCCCCATTACCTATTTCACCTACCCCATGGTAACCACCAGTAACTTCTTAGTGTCTATGAGTCTACTGCTGTTTTGTTCATTTTGTTTTGTTTTGTTTTTAGTGAAAAACAAGTGAAATCATACAAGTAAAACCATATGGTATTTGTCTTTTTCTTCCTGGCTTATTTCACTCAGCATAATACCCTCAAGGTCCATCCATGTTGTCAAAAATGGCAGGATTTTTCTTTTTTATGGCTGAATAATATTCCATTGTATATATGTATGGCATCTATTCATCTATAAATGGACACTTTGCTTCCTTCTATATCTTGGCCATTGTAAATAATGGAACAGTGAACATAGGGGTCCATATATCTCTTTGAATCGGAGATTGTTTTCTTCTGGTAAATACCTAGAAGTGGAGTTACTGGGTCATATGGTTTTCTATTTTTATTTTTTTTGAGGACCCTCCATACTGCTTTCCACAGCGGCTGCACCAATTGATATTCCCACCAACAGTGTAGGAGGGTTCCTCTTTCTTCACATCCTCACCAACACTTGTTATTTCTTGTCTTTTGGATAGTGGTCATTCTAACTTGTATGAGGTGGTAAGTCATTGTAGTTTTGATTTGCATTTCCCTGATGATTATGTGATGTGGAGCATCTTTTCATGTGCCTGTTGGCCATCTGTATTCTTTGGAAAAATATCTATTCAGGTACTCTTCCCATTTTTTAATTGTGTTATTTTGGGGTTTTTTTTGGTGTTGAGTCATTTTGAGTTCTTTATATATTTTGGATGTTAAACCCCTTATCAGATAAGTCATTTACAAATATGTTCTCTGACACTGTAAGATGCTTTTTTGTTTTGTTGATCGTGTCCTTTGCTGTACAGAAGCTTTTTAGTTTGATGTAGTCCCACTTGTTTGTTTTTGTTTTTGTTTACCTTCCCTGGGGAGACATCCAGAAAAAAATTACTCATGCTGACATTCAAGAGATTTTTGTCTGTGTTTTCTTCCAAAAGTTTATGGTTTCATGTCTTATATTTAAGTCTTTAATCCATTTCAAGTTTATTTTTGTACATGGCCTTAAATAGTAATCCAATTTCATTCTCTTGCATGTAGCTGTCCAGTTTGTCCAACACCATTTATTGAAGAGGCTGTCTTTTCCTCACTGTATATTCATGGCTCCTTTATCATATATTAATTGATCATATATGCATAGATTTATATCTGAGCTCTCAGTTCTGTTCCATTGATCTATGGGCCTGTTCTTATGCCTGTGCCATACTGTTTTGATTATTGTAGCCTTTGTAGTATAGCTTGAAGTCAGGGAGCCTAATACCCCAGCTTTGTTCCTCTTTCTCAAATTTGCTTTGGCTATTTGGGGCTTTTTGTGGTTCCATATGAATTTTAGGATTATTTGCTCATTAGTAGTTTATTGAAAAAATGCCACTGGTGTTTTGATAAGGATTACATTGAATCTGTAAATTGCTTTGTGCAGGGTGGCCATTTTGACAATATTAATTCTTCCCATCCATGAGCATGAGATAGATTCCTGTTTATTTGTGCCATCTTCAATTTCTCTCATCAGTGTCTCACAGTTTTCAGAGTACAGGTGTTTTCTGACTTTGTGATTACAGCTGTCCTCATGGGCATCTCATTGCAGTTTTGATTGGTATTTCCCTAATGATTTCAAGCATCTTCATGTGCTTATTGGCCATTTGTATAATTTCATGTGCTTATTGGCCATTTGTATAATTGTTCCTATCCTTTGCCCATTTTTACCTGGGTGATTTTTAATTTTATTAAATTACAAGAATTCTTATATAGTGTACAAATCCTTCATCAGCTATGTGATTTGCAAGAATTTGCTCCCATTCTTTGGGTTGTATTTTTCCTTTCTTGATGGTGTCTGCTGAAGCATAGAAGTTTTTAATTTTGAAATCCAATTTATCTCTTTTTCTTTTGTCGCTCATACTTTTAGTGTCATATCTAAGAAACCACGGCCTAATCCATGGACATGGAGATTAAAAGTACGTGTTCTCCTGAGAGTTTCATAGTTTTGGCTTTCACATTTAGATTCTTGATCCATTTGAGTTAATTTTTTTTATATAGTGTAAGCTTAGAGTCCAGTTTCATTCTTTTGCTGTCCAGTTGTCTCTGACCATTTGTTGAAAAATTATTCTCCCTGCCTTAGATAGTCTTACCATACCACCCTTGTTGAAAATTAGGTGGCCATAGATATGTGGATTATTTCTAGACTTAGACCTGCTCATCTGATTTATTTGCCTGCTCTTGTGCCAGTACCACACTGTCTTGATTACTGTTATTTTGTGGAAAGCTTGAAATTGGGAAGTGACAATCACCTTACTTAGTTTTTGAAAAAGAAGGTTTGGGCTATTGTGAGCCCCTTGCAATTTCATGTGAATTTCAGAGCCAGTTTATCTTCCAAAAAGAAGTTGGCTGAGATTTTGAAAGGGACTGCATTGAATCTGTAGATCAACTTTTAATATTTTGTTCCATGAGCATATATCTTTTATTATACTACATTTTGAAATATTTTTTATAAAAAAGAATGTGAACCAACTTCTAAACTTGTTTTAAATGGTAGAAAAGTCAGCACATCTGGAACTTTGTGATCTAGGGGTGTCTCACCTTCTAGTGTTCAGTGTGGACTATCCTAAAGTACGATAAAGGTTAAGCATGGCATTTGTGTCATAGAAGTTGGGAAGGTGTTTTTCACTTAGCTGTCACCAAATTTTAACTAAAAATATAAAATGTTCTTACTCTTCAGGTTTATTAATTTTGTGAAAAACTACAAGAATCCAAATCTGACTATTTCTTTCACTGCTGAACGAAGCATTGAAGATGAACTAAATCGTGAAAGTAACAGTGATATCTTGACTGTTGTAATCAGCTATGGCATCATGTTTCTGTATATTTCCATAGCCTTGGGGCACATCGAAAGCTGTAGCAGGCTTCTAGTAAGTCGTGTGTGTGTCTTTGTGTATGTGTCTGTGTGAGACCTGGCCAGGCACATCATGGTGGTGTATTTTTCCCTTTACTTATCATCATTCATTGTGTTCCAAACTGCCTAAATGCCTCTGTGTTTTAATTGGATGTGACAATTCTATTTTCTGCATCTCTTTTCTTCAGTTCCAATTTTCTGGTTTATCTTAAACTTAAAATTTATTTCACGTAATCCAGTTTTTTCTAATTTGTCCACTCCATCACCTAGAATGGAAGCTCACAAAATATGTTGCTAGGGAAGACCTAGAACATTTTCCTTATCTTCTCCCAAACATGGAATTGTACTTTTAATTCCGGATTGGCTCTACCTGTGTAAAGAGGTAAGATGAGGGTCTTTCAGTAGTGGGACAGGTAATAACTCTGACCATTTGGGTCTCTGTTGCATCTCAGGTGGATTCTAAAATCTCCCTCGGCATCGCGGGTATCCTCATTGTGCTGAGCTCAGTGGCATGTTCATTGGGCATCTTCAGCTACATCGGGATCCCCCTCACCCTCATTGTGATTGAAGTCATCCCATTCCTGGTGCTGGCTGTTGGGGTGGACAACATCTTCATTCTCGTCCAGACCTACCAGGTACACTTTCATAAACTCACAGAGTTTGGCACCTGACCAAGTACTGGTGCCACTAATGGCTCTTCAGGGCCATGAGGAGTATTTCTGAGTGTGGACAGCAGGGAAGCTTTGTTACCTTCCTCTGTGTAGCTTATTGGTGCCGTGACTTGTTCTGGACATTTTGAGAACCAAGAAGTTCACCCCTCTCTTCGGTTGATGGAATTGATAAAAAGTGAGAATTTGATTTTGAATGTGTGTGCAGAAAGGGCTAACATGCTTTTGGAAAATGTTTTGGGTATGACTGCCATTAAAGTGATTCTGCATATGGCAAAGAAGATTTGTCAGAGGTGCCTCTAAAAAGACAACAGGTCAGCATAGGACCCGCTCATGTAGAAAATGATCCCAATCAGTTGCTTCTCACATGGTCCCCTTGTTCTGTAGCCTTAACCTGCTTGGAGACTGTGGCATTTACAGGTGCCATTTAATGGTCCGGCTATCTGCAGCTGACATGTCTTGTATTTTCCTGATAATATGGTTCAGTCTTTTCTTGGGCTTCTCACCCTGTTACCTAGCTCAGGGGTTCAGTAATATCCTGAATGAACTAACATGAGATGTGAGTCCCCCACCAAATTTTATATGCAATAAGAAGTTTCCTTTTTTTTTCTTAACCATTGAATTAACACAGGGCAGCAAATTAACAAAAAGATGGCATTGTTACTTAGAAATTTTAACATCACCTGTTTTGTCTTTTGTTTTTTTAAGAGAGATGAACGTCTTCAAGAAGAAACACTGGATCAGCAGCTGGGCAGGGTACTAGGAGAAGTGGCGCCTAGTATATTCCTGTCATCCTTTTCAGAGACCATAGCATTTTTCTTAGGTGATTATTACTCTTGGAATTCTACCAGTCTGACAGTTTGCTCAGCCGGAGTGTAGGAAGACTAGAACTCGGGCAGAATGCTGCTTTGTGCTGCCTCCTCCTTTAAGCTTTCCTCCATAATTGGAGGGTATCAGAGTGGATCACAGGAAAGACGGTAGCAGAGTCTTGTTTTGCAAGCAGCTACTTTCTCACATTGTGTTAAGACAGTGTTGATGTTTAGGGACCAGAATAACACACACCTAGAACTCCTTTGCCACTTTCCCTGTTTGGCTCCCATGGCAAATGTTGATATTAGAAAACAGTATTCTTATATAGCCACAGAATCGGTCTCAACACAACACTCTGAGCAGAACCCGCAGGCATTAGTTCGCAAGGTATTTGCTCTTGCTGTCTTCGGCAGTGTTCCTCCTCTGTTCACACAACTTCTGAGAGAAGCGTCCTTATTAATGAGCAGGGGGTCTTGATTCTTACCTCAGTATAAGGAGCCAGAATAAGCTAGAACAAACCAGCACTTGTATGTTTCTTTCCTATGGAGAAATCACTGGCTTGCCTTCCTAGTGGGGCTCTGTTCCTATGTCTGGTGTGGGTAGGAAGAGAACACTGTACCCTCTGGAGAGGCAGCCAGATTAGAGTTGCCCAGCAAGTCCACACAATCTGGGGTCACACGGAAATGCCCCCAGAGGCCACCAAGTCATCTTACACAGGGCCACTGTAGGCCGATCGAAGGTGGTAGTCTTTTGGTACAGACACACCGTTAGCATATTCATTTCCACAAAGCTGTGCACTTTGAAACCTGTGGCCCTTATATGTCCTTTTGGTGGATACAGGTGTGGAAAAAGCTCTTTTTACCTCTCTTTACCTCTCATAAGAAAGCCAGTGTGAGTGTGATGATAACAGCAGCTGACGCCATACCTCCAAGTCAGGGGGACTTTGGGGGGACGAGCAGTGGGGATGGGGTGCCAGAGTGCATGGGTCTGAAAGAAGCAGGTGTGTATTGTCAGCTTTTTGTTGCTGTTGTTCAAGCAAAGCTGTGAATCTAGATTCTTTTGTAAGATCTCATTTTGAATATTGGCTACTTTCTTTAAAAAACGTTTTGTGATCCTTAAACGGGTTGATATAATATGGGCCAAACAGGATACACCTGGCCTGTGGGCTGCAAGTTTGCAGTTTCTGAATTGTAACCTAGTGCCTCTGACTTGGAGTGCCTCATTGATTGTAACTAACCCAGGAGACCAGTATTGTTGATATAATAGCAGATGGAAAATACTGTCCCTTTCTTAGAGTATAACATAAAAGATACTATTAAAAGATGGCCTTTATTAGTTGTTTTCAGAGTTTAATTTGCCTGGAGAGCCCTATTAAATTCAGTCGATTTGGGGTTGAATACCCATTGTCCTGACTAAGTAGGTTGGACCCAGGCCCAGGAACCTACATTTTCAATTCCCCAAGTTCTGCCCCATTTTGCAGAACACCAGGCTTACAGACTCCCCCAGTCCCGGCCTGATACCCAGACTGTTGCAGCACGCGTGGGGGTGGGTGGAGGGGAGGGTCTTCTCGTACGTTTGGCCTCCTCTGGCTCCTTGAAATTCAGATATACACATGGTGTGAGCCTCATGCAGAGTTGTCTGCTGCCAGTGGAAGTGATGGGCAGCTTTTCTCCCCTGCAGGGGCTCTGTCGATGATGCCGGCTGTACGCACTTTCTCTCTGTTTGCGGGCATGGCAGTCTTCATTGACTTCCTTCTTCAGATTTCCTGTTTTGTGAGCCTCTTGGGGTTAGACATTAAGCGTCAAGAGGTATGTTATCAGTATTAAAATCTATTTGATTGGAGTCTGGAATCTAGGTGAGGCAGCCATGGGGTATGACCTCTGCTCCTGTTTTGTTCCCTCAGAAGAATCGCCTGGACATCCTTTGCTGTATCAAAGGTTCTGAGGACGAAGCAAGTGTCCAGGCCTCAGAGAGCTGCTTGTTCCAGTTCTTCAAAAACTCCTTTTCTCCATTTCTGCTGAAGGACTGGATGCGACCGATTGTGGTAGGTGCTTATCTGTGGTTTTCCTCATTTCTCTCCCCAAAACAGATTTGTCACATGAATTCTAAGAAATCAGACAGCTTCAGAAGGAGATTCCGACAGCTGTTAAATATATACACAAGAATGCAAAAGCAAATATGTACAAATATATAAAATATTTTCTAGTTAGTTTAGCAGTCACTATGAGCAAGAGTAAAGTTTTTGTTTTGAAATAATTATAAATTCATAGAAAGTTGCAGAGGTATAGAGAGGAGCCCGGTCCCCTTCACTTAGTTTCCTCCTGTGGCCTTACATAATTACAGCTCAATATCAAAACCAGGAATTTGACGTTAGCACAACAGGTATGTGTAGTTCTATGTCATTTAATCACCTGTGCAGATTCATGTAATCACCATCATAATCAAGATTCAGAGTTGTTCCAGCACCACAACATTTCCCTGCATGCAACCCCTTCGTAGGAGTCACTTATCTATTCCTCCACACCACCAGCTAGTGCTAGTCCCCAGCAACCGAGCGAAAGGTTTTATGTAGTTTATACACTGGATGTAGCCAACAGTGATAATCTGTTACTATTATATTTCTATAAAAAAAACATAAATTACAGTTGACCCTTGAACAAAACAACGTGGGTTTGAACTGCCTGGGTCTACTTGTATGTGGTTTTTTCAATAAATTATTAGAAAATTTGGAGGAGACTTGTGACAATATGAAAAAAAATTTTCTGTAGCTTTTTTGTAGGACTACGGTCTGCAGTACATATAACATACAAAACATACGTGAGTTGACTGTTTATTGGTGAGCCTTTTGGTCAGCAGTAGGCTGTTAGCAGTTAAGTTTTTTGAAGAATCAAAAGGCACATGTGGATTTTCAACTGTGTCAAGGGGTCAGCGCCCCTAACTCCTGAGTTGTTCAAGGGCCAACTGTAGTTTCCTATAACAGCAAAAGGAATGTAATATCTAATGCTTATGGAACATTTAATATTGGGCATTATGCTAAATACTGGGTACTACGCTAAAATCTAGATTATCCCTAGATTTTCTCATTTAATCCACATATTTTATTTTTCCTGTTCTACTGATGAGGAAGTAGAAGGTGAGAGAGGTAAGTTGACTTCCCCAGGGTCACTCACTTTATAAGTGGTGGAGCCAGGATTTAAACCCTTAGTAGTCTGACCCTGCATATTACAATTACAGCCACTACCCCATACTGTTTTCTTAGTGTGTTATTTTAAAGTTGCTTTTCACTTTGGAGAAGTGCTGTATCTTGTGTGTTGAAGATTTATATCCTTAAGCTCATTGTAACAGTAAGCAATTGCTGTCCTGTAACTCACTTTTCATTCCAGATAGCAGTGTTTGTGGGCGTGCTGTCATTCAGTATCGCAGTCCTGAACAAAGTAGAAATCGGATTGGATCAATCTCTTTCAATGCCACATGTAAGATGCTTTCTGTTTTATTTTAGCTTGTTTAGCCAATGCTGAACAAATTTTTCAAAATATGTATGCAGATATTTTAAGCAAATGCCACCTAATAAGTGCACATGCTGACAGGTTCTCGCATGTTAAAAGAACTGCCACAGAGCTCTGCCAGCATGGGGCATCTTAGCTTTTTGAACTCTTAGAGAGCCTTCAGGGACACAGCCACAGAATGTGAGCAGCTGGTCTCTTTCTTACCTTGTGAGGTGCCCTCCTAGTGGTCAGACCAGCCAGAGGAGCATGCTGGATCCAGGGAGGGTGGAGAGGGGGCAGAGTTCTGTGGGAAATCACAAGTCTGGGCTGGGGGTGTATCATTCAGGAGCCTCCTGGTGCCGTCTGAATTCTGGTTGATCATCATCTCACTTAGACACTGTCAGAATGGTCATACTCTATCCTGTTCTTTGATCTATCTTCCAGGACTCCTATGTGATGCATTATTTCAAGTCCCTCAAGTACCTGCATGCAGGTCCGCCTGTATACTTTGTCCTGGAGGAAGGACACAACTACACTTCTCTGAAAGGGCAAAACATGGTGTGCGGGGGCATGGGCTGTGACAGCGACTCCCTGGTGCAGCAGATATTCAACGCAGCTCAGCTGGACAACTAGTCAGTACTGCCCAGTCATCCTATACTACAGCAGAAGCAGCCAGAAGGGGCTCTTGGCCAGAGTCAACTCAGGCCTGAAATTTCTCTCTGAAAATGGATTTTCTTGCAAAATTTGTTTTTCAAAATAATGCTAAATTTAGGCTTTACTGGAGCTAAACCTTTTTTAAAGGACTAATTTATCACATAATGCTTTGAAGGGTTTTCCATGAAGTGCTAATGAGATCTGTCTTTTGACTGGGGAGCAGTATAAAGTCTAGAAAAGGAAGTTAGGCTTCAAGAGACAGACCAAAACTAAAAGCTTCTTCCCTGTGGAGTGGGTCTGTAATTTTCTTTTCTCCTCTCTCTAGTACCCGAATCGGCTTTGTTCCCTCATCTTGGATTGATGATTATTTTGATTGGATCAAGCCCCAGTCTTCTTGCTGTAGAGTCCACAATACTACTGATCAGTTCTGCAATGCTTCAGGTATGTCCAGCTTCTTTTCCAAATCTTTCCCTTTTTGCTGAGACATTTCAGCAGTTCATACCTGTTAACGTGCTGACACTGGGCTCGCCCCCTTGGCCATCTTCCCTTTGCTCGGTTCACTCGGGAGAGGATTGCATTGTTCCTGTCTCCGGCAACCCTCCGTGGGACAGCAGGCTGGACAGGGCCCTGCACGGGGCTCTAGCTGTCAGGGTTTGGGGGTTTATCTTTTCCCAAAGACTTCAATGGCCTCTGCTGATTGGTATCTGGCC